TTGATTCAAATGAATATATCAAGTTAGAATTACATACCTCTTTGATGTAGATTATCTTCATGAAGCTTGAGTGCCTAGTGCCCCAAGTGTGACACCTCAAATGGTTCACACAACAGCAAATACACTTGGAATAGATTGAGAGAACATACACACTTCATGAAATCGGCTAGCCCTTCATTCTCACACATAGTGACCGATTTCTTGAGCCATGAGATTCTTTTATATGGTGGCTATTAGGGTTACACCATGTAACTCATAACTTTACCTATTCCTTATGCTCCATGGATTTTAACCTCCATGGAGTATCCATGGATCACCCCATGGACTTAGTCCAACATAAGGAATCTTGGATCACAAGACCACATATATAAGAATGAATGATTTACACAATCAACCCATATATTTAATTAGTCTCCTTTTGATCACTTAATTAATTCCAAATTAATTTTTGATCAATACTAATTAAATAACCTTATTAATATATTAGAACTTATAATATATTAACAAACCTTAAATGTTATTTCTCTCATTATAGTCTATCCAAATGCATGATGCCATGCAACCCAAATAGACCATGTCGGGTCGGGTCAAGTCTCACCAATTATAGTTATGGACTTAGATATTAATCCAACAGCAGCCACACAGGGAATGATCAAATATTACATGAGAAATAGTACATTCCTATGTAGTTAAATTTGATTTGATCCTTCTGTTATAATACGATAAGTAGATATCTCTAGGTCTCTCGATGATTTGATGTTAACAGTCAAATCTTTGCGAAGCTGAGACTAAGTTCATCTAATCAACTAAAAGTTTGATAAGGTCACCACAAGTCTCTACCGAGAAACACAATCTTGAAGACTGATATTGACTCATGATCCATAACTCAGTTTATATAGATATCATGGAGTTCAAACTAGTCTAAGGGTTGTGTATTGCAAAGTTGTAATAAGTATAGTTGTTACAAATTGACTGCACACTTGATGTCTATTGTTAGTAAGTATTAGACCATACTATTGGTGGTGGCTAGTGTAAGTAGGAGTTGTTGGAAGATGGTGCTCATAGCCACAACAAGCCGGTAATATTACAATAAATAGTAGTATCATTTTGAGTTACACGCAAGAGCAAATATAAGCAGAAGTGAAAAGAGATTAAATTATAAAGACTAGCTTGTTACTGAATCAATTTTTTAATTAATTAAATAAAATATAGAAATTATATAACATTCCAGATAAAGGATTTAAATATTAGATAATTACCATAGTTAGAGACAATTATTCTGAAGTATGATATGTATCTGTTAGGTTTTGAATCATTGTCTTATAAATAGAGACACTAATGTAAGACCGTTCCAATGTCAGGCTGTTTTGATTTTTGGCGTGCTTTCTGTTGGAGTGTTTTCTGGTATGGTATTTGATTCCATGGGTGTGGTCACAAGAGATGGATTCTACGTTGGATCCTGTAAGTTCAATCAACAAGCGAAATCAAAGAAACCAAAAAAAACAAGTGCATATATTTTATATCTCTTGTTTTATGTTTATATATTAGTTATCTAGATCTAGTGAATGGAGGTTTCTTATGAGTTATAAATTTTATATTGCTTTCATTACCCCTTTTGTTGGCTAAAGGACTCTCATAATCCAACAAATACAAAATGCACAAGGAATCTAAATTGCATCCTACGATATCCATAACAACCATATCTTTTCATACTCTTAGTTTTGCAATTTATATATAGATGTTAAAAGAATATATGGAAAGATGGATTTGCCCTCGTGTGCAAGGCACATGAGGCTTTCTAAAGAGCACTTATGATGTCAACTTGATATGGACTAAAATGATCGATTTTGAAAGCATGTGGACATCTGACGTCAATTTCCAAAGCTTAGATTGCAACTGCAAACTATACTAAAAACTAGAACTATTTCTATTATTTGCTCTGTTTTATAGGATTTGGTTTTTACAAATAGTTACATAAATACAAATATCATGATGATGAGATGTCTTTGCAGAGGTTTTAAGGCGGCGGTTTGAATCCCAACTCTTTTAATTTTTTTTAACATATAAAGTCATAATCAAACTACAAAGGTACATGATTGTCAGAGGTTTTAAGGTTGTCCTGTATACGGATCACGAACCCGGTCATGGTCTACGTAACCATGGACAACGGCCGTGCACACCACCCTGGCCTGTCGTGGTTCGTCGTTTTCGTGATGGATCGTTGTGCCTACGACGAGACGCAAAGCCCAATCTGGGCTTCTTGACCGATTTCTTCTCTCTCAGCCTTCTTATGTTCCTCTCTTCTTTCTCTTTCTTCGTTCTCACCGGAGAGTACTCCGGTTGTGGTGGGGTGGTTTGTGGTTGTTCTGGTGGGTGATCTGGAAGCTCTCAATGACCGTTGTCGTGAAGAGTATAAAGGATGATCTAAGGCGATGAAGTTACTCTTCCATTATAGGAGGTATGATTATTGACATCAACCTTTACATCGTTCTAATGGGATTGTGAATTTCCTTCATGTTTGACCTATGAGTAGGGTTGACAAATCGAAAATGACACGGCACAACAAATTTTACATAATACGAACACGACATGACATGATGTTGTGTTTTAATTCAAAATTAATCTCACGAAACACGACAAGCACATATTATTATCGTGGTAATTTTATATCAAAACTTGAACACGAACAAAACATGACATGACAATATTATTTTTTTTTACATTTGACACTAATATATATAATATATATTTGGAATTCAGTTTCATTCCATTTCTATTACGTGACACTAATATAAATTTGGATTTCAATTTTATTCCATTTCTGTTTGGTATCTTATATTTTCATCGTGTCGATTGCCAATTTGCAATAATAAAATACACAATTTAATTTCATCATCCATCTATAAATGGTTGGCTTTTATCCACCTTTTTAAATTTTAAGTAGCTTCATTTTGAGCCTCCAACGCCTAGTTTAACTTTTGGGCCCGAAATCAATCCAAAGCCTCAGCCCAAGACCAGATTTTTAAGGAAAGGGCAGATTTGATAAAATTTTGAAAAAATAACGTTTTTCTTTCTCCAAAAAAGAAAATAGAATATGGTGTTAATTGTTTAAAAGCAAAAACCACATATAATATAGAAAAAATTGCAAAAATGGTCCCTGTGGTATGCATTTTTTGGGGGTTTTAGTCCAAACTCCGATTTTTTTGGATTCGTGATTCTTTTGAGCTAGTTTGGTTGCAGATTTGATCATCGGTAAACTGAAATAACCTTAATACCCTTGGGCATTTATTTTCTATTTCTAAATTCTTTTTTTAAAGTTTTAATAATTATTTATTCATTTTAATAATTAAAAAATAAAAGAGCTCTCTCTCTCTCTCTCTCTCTCTCTTTCTCTCTCTCTCTCTCTCTCTCTCTCTCTCTCTCTCTCTCTCTCTCTCTTCTTTTTCACAAAACAAGAAATTAAAAATCAAGTAAGAAATATTCACCCTTTCTCATCTTTTCGGTCTTCAAGAAAGAATCAAACTAAAACAAAAAATATATCTAGAATCATGTCCATCAACAACAAGCATCTGATTTCATTTTTGAAAATAATCGTTCCTAGCATCATAAATTTGATTTCTCACTTCTCAAACACTTGATTCATACAACATAGATTAACTCACACACTTCAAAATCATGTCATTGGGATGAACCCACCAGGCAAATCGATTATACATCAAAAATTAAAACCAAATATCTCAAACTCATAGGGTACACCCAAAACCTGCAACTCAAGTATGTGTGTGTGAGTGAGTTTGATGTGAAGACAATCAGGCAAAGATTCTGATTATCAAGCTTACTGAACCTTTGATCTTGATCTTGCTCTCCCCTACCCCCTTTCTTAATTTTCTAGGAAATTAAGAAAATTGAATTGGTGCACCATTTTATCTATATTTTCTTATATATAGAACTAGGAGAGAAGTGGAAATGGTGGTTTGATTGAGAACCGATTGCCACCATGGTTGATTGATGTTTAAGCATATCCATCCAGATCGCCACCATCTTCATAAAAATACTGGAGAAGACGAACCAAATCTTCAGCTCCATTATCGTCGTTGCCACTACCACCGGAGAAGAAGAAAACCTTAAGTTCGTCACCGCTACCAGATCTGCAAACAAGATACTAGGATCTAAAAACGAGGTCCTCAAATATGAAAGCCATCATCTCCTTGAGCTCTTCTCTGCTAAAAGAGAAAACGTACCAGGCGACGACGTTAGGGCTTGCTTTAATAGGAGGAGCTCGTCATCCGAGGAGGAGATCGGAGACCCACACACTCGATCTGATTTTTTCTTCTTGAAGGTGGTCATCCTAAAATCATTCATCAGATTTGATTTTATGTGTGTGGAAAAGAAGGAGATGGTGGAGGTTACCAGAAAAATCAATTTACAGGAAAAGGAGGTGAAGGACACGGTGGTAGTGACGGACGGTAGTTGAAGTGTGTATGTGTTCTAGAGTCTATGTTCATGAATATGAATGTGTTCTTTAGTTTGTATTTGTACAGAGAGAGAGAGGTGGGCCCCTCTTTTTTATTATAAAAATAATTATTAAAATAAATAAATAACTATTAAATTTTAAAAAAATGAAAGAAAAATGAAAAATAAATATCCCAAGAATATTAAAATCATTTCAATTTATCGATAAACCAAATCTGCAATGCAACTTGTTCAAAAGAACTACGAAATCAAAAGAAAAATAGGAATTTGGCCTAAAACCCAAAAATATGCATAGCACATGACCATTTTTGCAATTTTGTCAATTATATATGTCTTTTTGCTTTTTGGTTAACATGTACTATATACTAGGTTTCATCTCAAATAGCAACACATAAAGAATAGTGATCTATCATAATTGATAAATAATTAACTAAAATATTAAAGCCTTTAACATCAAATATTAAAATGACACATCATCATCTCCCCGTAAATATAGCGGTATTGACTATCAAAGTGCGCCAGCTGCTTCAAGGTTTTGGGGCCAATTTACTGGCTTTCAGATCTTCTATCAAAGCCATTAAACTGTTATGAGAAGATCCACCTTCTTCAACAACATGTTTAGCTTTCATGGCTGCCTCTTTTGAGTTGCGTCTTATGCTTTCAGCTATGGCGGATCCACCTGTCAATATCTCAATAGCATCACTTATACTCTGTTTCCCGATGATTGGACTGGTGATCACCGAACTAGAGTTCCAAACATCCACCCCTAGGCCGACTCCAATCCCTAAAAGCTCCACCAGCTTCTCGTTGTAAAAGTGATCGGCGTACAACGGCCATGTCATCAATGGCACACCGGAAACGACCGCTTCAAGCACGGAGTTCCACCCGCAGTGGCTCAAGAACCCTCCGACAGCCGGATGTTGTAAAATCTCCACTTGTGGAGCCCACTCTGTCATGATCAAGCCCTTGTTTTCCTTTTCAATCCTCTCCTGAAAACCTTCCGGCAACCCGCCGATTTCTTCATCTCCAAACTTCTTCCTCACCACCCAAATAAACGGTTGTTTAGAATCTTCAAGTGCTAAAGCAATTTCAGTGATCTGAGCTTCTAGGAAGTTCACCATACTACCGAAACAAACGTATATCACCGATTTGGGGTTTTGACAGTCGAGCCATTTCACACAACCGTGCTTCTCCGACGTCCTCCGACAGTCGCTAATAAAATATTGAAACAGAGGACCAATATGCCAGATTTTCGTTCCATTAATCTTTTTTAAATGATCGGCATAATCTCGTTCGATCTCGTAAAATGTATTATGGACTATTCCGTAACTTTTCTTCTCCGATTGTTTAATGGTTTCCATCATCTCACCCATTTGGGTCTTGAACTTGAAAAGGTCCGAGACCTGAGACTTCTTCATTGTGATTTTATCTGGCAAATTGGGAACCACAATTCACAAAGGTTTCCGATTCCGATTTCACTTTCTCGTGAGGTTTATGAACTTTCAAGCTATCGAAAATGGAGTGGTAAAAGATAGAAGAAGGGTAAAACAACAGTCTCGGGATTTCGAGGTCAACAGTGAACGGGAAGAACATGTCGGAGAAGATGCAATCTGCAGAAAGACTGCGAATCAGATGTTCCATTGATGTCTGGAGCATCATCGCGCCTCGGATGACTGCGGATGACATTTCTTGATTGGTGGAAGCGTTGAGGCTTTCTATTCCGACCTCCGATGCTGGGAAGTTGAGGGTCTGAATGGCGATGGGGAACCCGGCAGAGATATCACGGTCAACGGAGGATTTAAACATGAGAGCATTGTGAACTGTGGTGATGATGGTGGAGCGAACGCCTTGAGCGGCGAAGAGCCTGGCGATGTGGACCAAAGGGGAGGAAGACGACGTGAAGGTCACCGGTGCCGGTCATCTGGGAGGACTTAGTTTTCTCCGACGACATGATTCTTTTACTTTCACTCGTTTTGATTTCGGGCAAAAACCTTTTATATCTACAAAATTGGTTTTTATAATATGATACTTTGTTAAAATTAATTTTTTTGACTTTTTGTCTTGTTGCTTTATATTCATTCATTGGTATAATTCTTATATTTCCCATTTTCTATGAGCATGCGGCATGCATGATAGAAATCTGGTGTCTCTGCTATATAATAATATAATACGAACATAAGTAGTCAAATATGAACAAAGCTTTGATTGAAAATACAAACGGTCACTTGTTTGTTTTTAGTAAAAAAGACACCACGTGGTTCAATTTTCTTTGATAAGTATAGATGAGACAGGCTATATATAATCAAAATATATATCGCAAAAAAAATAAATAAATAAAATAATAAATAAAGAATAATCCAATATATAAAAACATTGGGTGTGGGCAACAAGATGCAACACCACCTCACATGCCACATAAATAAGTGTTGTTATAACACCAAGTGGAGAAATAGGCAACACCAACTTTTTGAAAATAAATATTTTTTTTCTTTTTTTTTTTACTATTTCGTTTTTTTTATACTTTTTTTTTTCATTTTATAATTTATTTTTTATTATTTTGATTTTTTTTAAATTGATACAAATATTTTTTAAATATAAATAATAAATAAAACATAATGTTTAAAAATTATAAAAAAAATTAAAAATTTTTAAAGATTAAAATTAACATAAAGGCTAAATTACACATAATATCCCAAAAAAAAAAAAACATCCAAATTCAAAAAAAAAAAAAAAAAACATCCAACGCTATTCGTTATCGTTATTGTTACCATAGAAGATATGATCCGCCAAATCCTCTCGAAGTTGTCTGTGTTTATTTGCGTCCTGAATGTCAACAACGCGATGCAAATAATCTGTTGTTTCTGGTTGAAATTGAACGTGTCTGAGCTCCGTTGGGATATAGTGTGCAATATTTCACCCTTTATCTTCTACTACCATGTTATGCATTATGATACATACATACATGATATATCGTAAAGTTTCTAAATCCAATGGTCGTGCTGCATGTTCGACTATATGCCACTTCGCCTTCAACACTCTAAAAGCACGTTCCACATCCTTATGTGCTCCTTCTTGTCTTCTCTTAAAAAATTTGTCTCGTTCTTCAACCGAGTGGCGGAATGCCTTCACGAATGTGGAATACTGAGGATATATTTCATCTGTAAGGTAATACCCATATTTGTATTCGTTTCCATTCACCGTGAAAGGAGCATCCGAGGCTTTTCCATTCAAAAGATCGTTGAATATTGGCGACTGATCAAGAATGTTGACGTCGTTGTTGGAACCTGCAACCCCAAAAAATGCATGCCAAATCCATAAATCTTGAGAAGCGACAGCCTCTAACACCAAAGAAGGTGATCCGTGATGATCACTTGCGTATTGCCCTTTCCATGCTACCGGACAATTTTTCCATTTTCAGTGTGTGCATTCAATGCTTCCGATCATTCCGGGAAACCCATGGCGTTCTTCATGCGCCGCATACAATTCTTGCAAATCATGCAACGAAGGTTTCCGCAAATACACGTCACCAAAAGTTTCAACAACACCCCTTGACAACGTATACAAACTCTCTCTTGCGGTTCTTTCGGACATTCTCATATAGTCGTCCATGGTGCCGGGTGACTCCCCCATAGCCATCAAACGAATGGCCGCAGCACATTTCTGCAACGTTGTAAACCCGCGTCTACCTCTAGCATCATATCTTAATTGAAAAAATTCGTACCTAAACATAAATTAACTACAGTTTAAAAATATATTGCATATATTGTAAAATTAAAGAAACATGTAGTACATTTTTATTTATTTTGTATAAAAATAAAGTAAAGAAATGATACCGGCTTTCCAAGGCGTTGGCGATTCGTAAGAACACATCCCTACTCAAACGAAATCTTCTTTTGAAGTCCTTCGCCCCGTATACACAATTATCCGCAAAGTAATCGCAATATAGATGTTTGTGTCATTCCTCGCGATTTCTGCTTAACATTGCACGTCTTGTTAGTAGCGGGGTTAGGTCTGGTTGTAGCAAGTCGGTAGTGTAATAATGATACATCATCCTAAAGAAAATATAGTCATCGGACGAGTCGAAAGGATCCATATTTTTTTTGAAGATAATTGAAAGTATATAGAGAGGATAAGAGAAAGTGTGTGAAAATTTTAAATAAAATGAGAGTTTTTATAGGATAAAATGTTTTTTTTTAATAGGTAACTTTTTTTTTTTCAAACCGTTGCAAATCAAACGGTCATTTTTTTTTTAAATTTTTCTTCGTTTCTTCCCGTCGCCATCCCAACGAGAATCACCTCGACGAGAAGCAACGAGCAGGGGGGCGGTGTTCCCCGTTGCTTCTTGTTGGACCCATACCTACTCGTCTAATGCTACACGGAATGGTGTTATTTTTGTTACATTTTTTTTTCATCTTGTCGCTGCGTAGGATTTGATTTGTTATTTAAAAGGGACAGTTTACCATTTTTAACATGCAATATAGTTTTGAGAAAATGACTTAACATGGTAAGATATTTTTTGAAATGTATACATTTAGTCCTTATTTTTTTTTCTTGTAAAATAAACTCTTATACTTTATTTTTTGTAACAATGAAATCCTTTTAACCGGCTATATCCGGTATATCGGTCATATACAAATTTTCTTTTAGGGAAAATAACTTGATAGGATAAGATACTTTTTGAATTGTACACATTTAGTCCTTATTTTTTTTTTTTTTGTAAAATAAACTCTTACACTTTATTAATATGTACACATTAGGTCATTTTCACCGGATTCTACAGGTTTTGCTGATGTGAAAGCACAAATGGCACTAAATAGCAATTAATTAGCTTAGTCACTAAAGGTGGATGATCCTCCAGCAACAAGAAAAGGGCAACGACCCTTCTCTTTCTCGTCTTTCTTCCTTCCGGTCGAACAACAACAACCAAACACCATTTACTTGTTGTGTTTCTCCGATCTGTCTCTCTTTGCCTCCATCTTTGAGATATGTTGCCAGAAAAGAAGAAAGAATCGACATGTGGGATACCAGAGCAGCTCCTCGCCGCCAACTACCGTCTCTACTTCCTCCTGCCTCCCCCTTCGACCTTGATGTTTTTACCATCATTCATCCTTGCTACCAGTGATGTGTTGGAACACACAAAGGAGTCGCCGGAGATCGGGGTTCTCCCTCCTTTTCATGATGAATAAAAGTTGGAAGAATCTCGTTGTGAATATGTGGATGCCACCTGGGTATTTCATTTCAACAAAATAAAAGAAAGGAAAAATGACTTGATAGGGTAAGATACTTTTTTGAAATGTACACATTTAGTCCTTATTCTTTTTCTTTTTTTGTAAAATAAACCCTCCATGTCAACCAAACCTGTAGAATCCGGTGAAAAAGACCTAATGTGTACATATTATTAAAGTATAAGGGTTTATTTTACAAAAAAAAAATAAGGACTAAATGCGTATATTTCAAAAAGTATTTTATCCTATCAAGTCATTATCCCTATACTTTTTTGTGTAAAAAAATATTTCATATAAAACGAGTATATAAAACTAAAATGTTTATTAAAGTAACAAAAACAAATACATTTAAAATTATAAGACAACAAATTTAACACGAGACACTTGAAATTAAAACATGTGAAACATTAAAACAAACTTAAAATTAAATTGAAACACAATACAAGTTCATTCAACACTAAAATAATTTTTCGTACTGCTTCACAATTGGCTTAGTAAATCGGAAAGGTTTGTTAATTTCTGTACAGAAGGCCTCAAGAACATTGACTAACAAAATTCTTGAATTTTCACCATTTACTACTTCAAATCTCACCTTAAGAGCAGTGTGAAACTATACTGCAACTACGTTTGCATGTCTCCATTTGGAGAATAGTTGATCTTTACTTCGAGGTGGACCGGCTTCGTGTATGAATCTTTAGTCGCTCTCCTCTCGAAAGTAAGTACATCAACGTTGATGTTGATTGGCTCTTCAGTTACATTAATCCATTACGAGCCAATATAACTTCTCCATTTGTGGTCCAAACATGAACCATTTTTTAGAGATTGAAATTTTAAAGAAGATGGAAAATAAAAAGGTTAGCAGAGGTAGATGGAGAAAGTTTGAATGAGGTGAAAAATAAAAGAGGATGTTAGTATTTAAAGTAGTTAAGGAAATGTTAAAAATAACAGATGGAAAATAAAAATGTTATCATAGCTAGATGGAGAAAGTTTGAATGTGGTGAAAATTAAAAAAAAGGATGTTAGTATTTATAGTAGTTAAGGAAATGTTTAAATTTTGAAATTAAAAAAATGGTTATATTTTGAAAAATCGGGTATTATTTGAAAAACAAGTTATTTTTTGAAGCTATGGTATGTGTTTAAAGTGAAAAAAACACACACATACACAACATGTAACGCCCCGATTCTCAGGTATGGATTTAAGTAAGAATCTCCTTGGTTTTAAGTCCTACTCGACGAGTTAAGGGTGCCCTACTCGTCGAGTAGCAGCGAGGTCGGATCGCACATTTAGTGACCTACTCGCCGAGTCCATAAAGGGACTCGACGAGTAGGAGCTGGCAGATGAAGCCCTAAATCCCGGGGTTCTGCACTCTATTTAAGGAGGCATAAGCCTCATTTGGCCTCCTTGTAGTCCTTGGGAGCTCATAGAAACCCTAACTTGTGTGTTGTGTCATTCTTGTGCATTATAATCTTGGAAGGAAGATTTTCATGGGAGGAAGAACTTGGAGAACAAGAGGATGGGAGCAAGGAAGGAGTGGAAATCCTAAATCTACCTCAGTTAGCATCCATTGAAGGTATCAAGTTGACATCTTTATTTCCTTTCCTTCTAGACCTCATATGGTGGAGATCTAGGATTTTTATGGTTTGAATAAGGTGATATTGCAAGACATGAGCTAGATCTGAAGTTGTAACTTCAGATCTGGACCTTTCCCAAGTTCTATAATCATAAAGTTCCTGTCTTGGTAGTGATTGAGGCCCCCTTGTGCGTGAAACCCCATTAAGAGCTTAGATTTGGCATTAAGAACCTTTTTAGCCATGCATACACATAAAGTTTGCAGCTTTATGTGAAAGGCATGCCCTGGAAGCTTGGATCTGTAATTTGGAGCCATTGCATGGCTTGAATGAGTCTGTATGGATTAAGGACTGAAAGAACTCGACGAGTCGCAAGATCGAATCGGTGAGTCACATGAAGATGGCCGAGAACTCAACGAGTTGGATGAACGACTCGGCGAGTCCGATGAAGATTGGCATGAGACTCGACGGGTTGAAGAACAACTCGGCGAGTCGGATGAGTTTTCTCCAGGATATGTATGTGTGTGTATCCGGCGAGTCGCTAGGAGGAAATTTGACATGTGGCCTTAAAGTTTGATCGAAAATCGAAGGAACTCGACGAGTCACCCCGATGACTCGGCGAGTTGGAATGTGCATTAAGGAACTCGGTGAGTAGCCGATGGTACACGGCGAGTTAAGGTCAATATGGACTGTTGAACTTGACTAAGGACCTTGACTTTAACCAGGGGTTAACTAGTTGGTTTATGGAAGACTTTGTAAGGATAAGGACTTATGAGTATATTCGTACTATGGTAATAGGTGGTGGAGTCCTTGGCAAGTGATCGGAGAGTTGGGATTATCTACCGAGTTGACATCTACGAGGTGAGTTATCCTCACTATACTAAGGGGTCTAAGGCACCAAAGCCGGCCCATTGGATATGTTATCCTAGTAGTGTTAGATGTTGAGTATGAGTTAGTATTGCATGTGATATGGGAATATTTAGTTATAAACTTCATGCATTATCTTAATACTTTATGTTGATTTTATCTCATTTAATGAACAAAAGGTGCTTAATTAGTTTAGAATTTCATTTTTCAGCAATAATGACATGCTCGGAAGGAAAAGGAAGTGGAACTAGCGATTGGAGGCTTGGATATTGGATTTTGAAGAAAGAAGGATGTTGCTGGACAGCTTGACCCCTCGTCAGTGTTTTGGCCATATATCTCATGAACCGTAACTCCGATTGACGAGATTCAAAATGTTCTGAAAAGTAGACACAATTTCGGACGACTTTCGTGTTGTGAGAAAATGCTGATTCGAAACGTACTCGGCGAGTAGGGTCGATTACTCGCCGAGTTGGTCAGAAGTTTCGCGATTCTGGACGCGCTGACTTGCCGCACATGGGTTTTAAGTGATGGACTCGCCGAGTAGGTCAATGGACTCGCCGAGTAGCCCCTGTTTTGTGAAAATCTATATAAAGGGACTTTCAGATCGATACCCTAGCATATAGATGAACCCTTGGAGGTTAATTGTCGACTAAAGGTGTTGCTAGAGCGTGGGAAGCAAGGGAATCAACCCTACATTCAATTTTAAGGAGAATCAAGTCAAAATCAAGTTTACTCTTACCTAATCTCTTGTTTGAACTATGTTTTTACCAATTGATTTCGTTTTTGAGCTTGTTTGTGCTGTAATTATGAGCTAAAAACTCATAACTTCTGTTTAGGTAGATGAATTTGTGAACATGGATTGATTATTTGATTAGGATTAATTTTAATTGGTGATTATGTTTTATTAAGCTTGTTAAAGAACCTTATGTTTTAACAATAACTATTCTTCTATTAATAAATCAGTAATTAAGTTCTATGAACATCTCTTAGTTGTTAATTTCATATGATTTACGTGACCACATAGTTGTATGTCTAGGAATAACGAATGTGAAACTAGAATTAACTAGAAGATAGGTAAGTTAATGTGTGAGCTTGTGTGATACACCATCAACAAGAGGTTAATTGAATAAACAATTTGATTAGCTAATTACAAGTCTTTCTAAACCCGAATCAACAAACTAGGAAATTCGTTAATTTAGACAACTGGCCACTGCTTGAGTTAATTTGTTTCCTGAGGATTAGTAATAGAAAACGTGAAACTAATCATCTTAGTCGGTAGCTAATGAAGAATTAATCCGATACATTGAAATCATCCATGGGAACAAACGAGTCGAACCTAAACAGAAGTCCTCTTTATTATTGAATTTAGTTGATTTTTATTTGCTTAGCTCTTAGTTTCTTAGTTTAAGTTTTAGTTAATTGTTTAAGTTTGTAGTCTTGCAAAACTAGAGAAAACTCTTTCTATTACTTGTTTTATTTAGATAATATTAGCATCTATTTTAATTGTTTACCGTTCCCTGTGTTCGATACCCTGCTTACCTGAACTAAACTGCTAATCGATAGGTACACTGCCTTTCGTGTGTTTGTCTTTGTGTTTAAGTTAGTAGGATTAAAACTAGTTGGTTTTATACACATCAGCATGCTAGTGGTTATGATAGTTAGGTAGATTTGTAGGACTACCTGTGATGTTATATGATTATTGCATGCTAAGTAGTTATGTTATATGTTATGTGGGGTGGGTTGAGGTTGTATAGCTTCGTGCGGTGGCCAACAAACCCTAGAGTATAACAGACATGAGCTGAGGGCCAGGCTAGGCATTCCAAACTCATGATGAGGACTTATGAGCATTCTAGATACGAGCTGAGGGACCGGTAGGCATTCCAGATTCGTACTGAGGGCTCGGTAGCAATCCAGATGTGAGTTGAGGGCATGGTAGGCATTCCAGACTCACACTGTGGGCCCAAGGGTATTCCTGTCTGTAGAGTTGTGGACCTGTTGCGTGCTGTTCTGTTTCAGTTGTTATGATATGATATTGCTGACATGGTTATGTGGACTGTATGGGTATCGGTATTTTGGGGGTAACTCACTAAGCTTTTGGGCTTACAGTTTCAGTTTATTGTTTCAGGTACATCAGGGGATCGCGACAAGGCAAAGGCGTGATCGTACAACTCCTCATGTTATGTTTATATTTCTGGGAAAGACTCTGATAATTAATATTTTGAAAGCAAAGTTGTAATGTTTTAATGAACTTGACATGTTTTAAAAAGTTTAAATTGGTTTGAAATTTTGGACGTTACAAGTTGGTATCAGAGCCTTGGTTTGAGTGAATTGGAGGAACATTCGTGTGAATCCAGTCTCAAATCAGGGAAAGATTTTCAAAATGGTTTTAAATGGTTTTCAAAATAAGTAAAGGAGGATGCAGGGTGTACGATCAGCCGAAGC